ATCCCAGTAATTCGCGTTGCAGTGCGAGGATCTAGGGAACAACGCGTCAGCAACACCGAAATTTCTGGGAAAATTGCACCGTCTGAAACGGGCCTAAGGTGACGCAGGGTACACAATGCTCACAAATGTGTAGAAAAATAACGGAAACCTTCCTAGACCACTTCAGAGGTGACGCTGCTAGTGAATTTAAGGTGTCGTGGTAAATGTCGGTGCTTCCTCAAGCACATGCTTAACCGATGTAATCAAAAGGCAGCTTTCGTGCAATAGATTGGTTTCGCCTTTACGACTTTGTCGCCTGTAAGGCAAACAATTCTGCTAGTTTTTTTTATTAATAAAAGGGTACTATTTCGGACACTATTAGCTATGACACGGGAGCCGTGGCCATTGTGTACCTCCAGCGCCACATAGCAGGTGCACCCGGAAACGCCGCGCATACCCCACCTATCCTGTGTGCTGGAATTACTCTTCCAGGTTGCAATAACACTCCTTGTCGTCTGCTAGGTACAAAGCAGATGCACCCACAGCACTTGCCGATGTTTTCTTCACAGGCTTATGTTTGTGCCTCTCGGTACAGTACAGATTCCCTGACTCGTGGAAATGAACCAGCCAAACAACTAACAGGGGGCCTACCGAGCTAAGCCTAATTGCTGCCGATAATTTTATACATATCTTGGTAGATTACTTTTATTAATTGTTTTTTTCCATGGTTTTTTTATTGTGTCAGAATTTCTGTGCTAATTATGCTTAGCTCGGTATGTCCCCTTCGTTTTAGGAGCTTTGTAGGTGACATTTCTATAACTTTTAATAACGGCAATCGTAAAACACGTTTTTCAACGCAATTGCGAACGCACTATGGCCCATCTTTTTGAAATACCAAAAATCTGAGTCCTGTTTGATGTCGCCTCCTGCCGCCTGGGCAGGCGGCACCGCTCGCACGCAGAGCCGTCTCTGCTCGCACGGAATAAAACCGGTTTCCTTTGGTCCGCCGGCGCCCTTATCTCCCGCTCCTCACCTTCTCGCTTCGGGTCGCGGTGGCAACAGCACGGAGTTGTGAAAGAAAGTCGACTCGCAAGACTCCGCAATATTTGACGTCAACGCACCGGCGCGAATCGAGCGGGAACTTTGAATTCGGCATTTGGAAATTGTTTTTTTACTTCCCAAATACTGAATTCCCAAGTGTCGAATTTTGAGGGTAATGTCCCGGCATCGTTTTCAATCATTTCGGATAATAAAATATGAATTTGGTGTGTCAGTGCCCCTTTAAAGGGGCACTGACACCCCAAAGGTCGTATTTATTTTTATTGTCTAAAACGATGCAAGTTGCAGTCATAGACACGCAAAAAAAACCGCATCGCGAAAAAAAATTTTCCCGCGCGCGCGCGCGCCTTTTTATTTTTGGCGTTTGATTTTCCCGCCTCTCGCCTCCTCGCTTCTTTTGATCGGTGACGTCAAAAATCAGGAAATTTAGAAGCTTTGTAGGCGACATCTCTATAACATTTAATAACGGCAATCGTAAAACATGTTTTTTAACGCAATTGCGAACGCACTACGGCCCTTCTTTTTGAAATACCAAAAATCGGGAGTTCGTTGTGGTGCCGTCTCCTGGATTTGTATCCTCCAACGGAAAACAGGCGACACCGCTCAAAACCGGTCCGCCGTAACGCCGCCGCTCACTCCTTTCCTCCTCGCTTTGGGTCGCCATGGCAACAGCTGGGAGTGGTGAAAGAAAGTCGACTCTCAGGTCGCCGCGATTTTTGACGTCAAGGCACCGGCGCCGATCGCGCGGGAACTTCGAATTCGGCATTTGGAAATTGTTTTTTTACTTCACAAATACTGAATTCCCAAATTTCAAATTTTGAGGGTAATGTCCCGGCATCGTTATCAATCGTTTCGGATAATAAAAAAAAATATGATTTTGATGTGTCAGTGCCCCTTTAAAGGAACACTGACACCCCCCCCCCCCCCCCCCCCCCCCCCCCCCAAAGAAAAAAGTACTTTTTGCCAGGCGATTTATTATGGTGTCGGAATACTACAGAATTGATATTTTACTACAGAGTCACATATTTTTTTAATAAAGCCAAAAACACGCAACTGCTCGAAACTGAAACCGAAACCCACGCACCGCACGGAGATGTGGAGAGAAGAGAGTGAGTGGCGGAAGTCACGTGGCTACACCCGACCGTGCGATTTCTTTTGTTCATCCGGGTGCAGCAGACGAAATGCGTTCGGGATTCGTTCGCCGTGCGATTCCTTTGCAGTTATGTTTGTTCCGCTCGCTGTTCTGTACTTCAAGATGAGTTGTTTGTAAATTTAAGTGTTGGCAATTAGTAGTGAGTGCCCGTGGGGAATTCCCGTGATCGGCTCCGAAAAGAATACTCCCAAGATGGTGCGTGAACAGCTGCCTCACATCTGAAAGTGACATTGTGCGGCAGAGGTGTCAAAAATGGAATCCCATACCATTTAGTTCAGCAACGTATCGTCCACAACAATTTTTTTTCAGTGATAATTGTAAGAAAAAAAAAAAAATGTAAACATCGCAAAATGTAAAAAAAAAAAAAAAAAAAAAAAAATGTTACGCCCACACTAGGGATCGAACACGTGCCCGCTACGTGAGAAGCGGACGTCTTTCTACCGAGCCGCTGGAGGAACTCTTTCGCTCATACTAATGCATCCGGTCGACTGTATGTCGCAAAGTTTGCTGCCGATTTTCCTCCAGTACATGCACTCCCAGGTTGAAGTCGGGCAGCACCACGCATTGGCCAGATTCGTACCAAGTAAAGAAACCGTACGCGTGCGTATTCCACTTGATGTACGCACTTCGTGCTTGACGTTTGAGCGAGCGATGTCTTCAGCCACGAGAAGGGACGACGGCTCGGTGACGTCTTTGTGCAATCGGCTTGCTGGTCGGGCGTGTCGTACGGGATGAATATCAATTCTTTTGATCGATCCAAAATTTCTCTTTCGAAGGAAGACAGAATTCGCCGGTACCGTGAACAACAGTTCTGAAGTAGAGGTCCCACGCCCGTCATCCGCTGCCACCCGTGAGTCCCACGAAACGCGAAACGACGCCATGTTGAGAATTATGCAGTGAACGTTTTTTGTTTTGAATCAACGTATTTGCAGATTTTTGGAAGCCACACAATACGGTTTCATATTTTTTTTTAAATATTTTTTGTATTGATTGTGTGCCTTCAATGACTCACGACTTTGATTAAATTTGGTGGTCGCGTCGAAACCTTAGAAAACGCCCCTTGAGTGACCACAGAAAAGAGAGTGAGCGCGACTCAAACCGGCCAGTTCTCGATCGGTGGTTTTTGGGCGGAAAGAAACCGAATTTCGAGCCGCAAATTCTGTTCTGGATAGTTGGGCTCTTATATGTCACGTACAACTAAAAACCTCGGCGAGCATAAATACCCTGTCAACGAAATTTGAAATATTCCCGTCGTGTTCAAAAATAGGTTGAACATGATCCACAATATCCGTAAATGACAATAGCACGTTTGTATTTTGAGCCTGATGGCTGTATTTTTCGTTATAAACGGCCTACTCTGGCAAGCGCTCGGAGAAGGCCCAGCAGAGACCACGTGACATCCAACGCAATCGTGACGTCGGTCGTCTCGGGACTTGCAAAGCTACGGCGAGGCTGACGTCGAGAGGATGGCCTCGTCGTTCCGGCCACCGAAGCGACTGCTTTTGTACGAATTTCGAGTGACGGGTTCATCTTCTATAATCTTGTAGGGGGACAATAGCGACTTCTGCGACACACAAAAGGCATTCTCGGGAAGAGGGGAGTTCCTCCTTTCCCTGTTCTCTCGTCGTGGCCGGAGGCGAGACACTGACCGTCACTAGCTGTCAAGATTGCTAGACGGGCATTATAAACGAGGCGTTAGCGACATCCACCAGGTGCTCTTTGCTAATCGTTTAATTCGTTCTAAAATTTCTTTTTGGGACTTTTTTAACAAGATATTGGTATGTTCGATGTGATACTGCTCCTTTGAACATATATAGACCAAAAAATGAGCGCCGAAATTTCGTTGTAGTATACCTTTAAAGGGGCACTGAAGTCATTTTAAGAACAAAGTGTCGTTTTTGATTTTATATTGTTTCAATGTGTTGGTTCCCACCTATACCAAGTCCTATATTACAAAACCGCCTATTCATCTCAGGGCAATAGAAAAACATGTGGACTCTTTTTTTTCCTCGCGCACTACATTGTGTGGACCAATGAAAGCCCTACAATACGTGCAGAATCCAAATGATTTTATTATAACTTGTTTCGAAGAGAGTCTGATAGGTAGGTACACATTCGGATAAGACTCCTCTTTTTCTCAGCGGGCGAAGCCATCGCTTGCAACTGGCCGACGAGCGTCCTTTGTCGACCACTTCACTCGGAAGAAATTTCTTCCCAAAAAGGGCGTTTCGCGATCTTTGAACACGCTTTTAACGAGGAAATAAGCTACGTACGATTGCGATATCGGGTTTGTTGGGATGCTTAGAGCGTCTAGATTGAGTTGACGCCACAAAAGGACGATCTCAAAATCCACTTCAGTGCAGTGTGCGGTGGAAGCAACATACTAGTTGAGCCAGTCGTACGTTTATCTTTTGGCTCCTGATCACACCCCCTCCCACCCATACTCGCAAGCAGATAGCGGGGCCAGGTGATGAGATGGGGCCATGCAGTTGTTTGGTCCGGCGAGCACGTAGCTACCACCGCACTGTCAATTAGGGTAGAACAAAACAGAATATATACGAATCCATTTCTTTTTTTTTTTTTTGGTTGGGGGAAGACATGCATAGTGGTGGGTTGGCGTCAGACAAACTTCGTGCTTGACAAGGGCTAAAATCTTACCAGCTTGGCGATGAAATCTGGAATATTTCAGTCCCTCTCCGTGTCATTGTTGTTCAATATTTTAAACGAATTTGCTCATTTCCTCTAATCTTCTATTGTTAAGTATTATACCTTGCTGAAGTTTAATGTATGGTATTGTCACGGCTTGCAGATACTGCGAGTACATCATTGAACCTTGGCCTGCTGTGCACTATGATGAACGACACAGATGTCTGGGATGATCCCGAAGGCGATGATTTGATTGCAGCTGTTCAGCTGGACAGCACCAAATGTCTTTCAGTGGAAGACCAACCGCCACTGTTTAAGTACCGTGGCGGACGTGTTTACGTTTCGGACTTGTCAAGCCAGATGTACTGTGAACAAAAACTGCTGTACTCTCTGATTGGAGTGAGGCGCTTGAGAGAGATGGGCTATGACATAGAAGTGGGGGAGAGTGCACAAGTTACTGCAGGAACAAACATCCACTTGGCTAGGGCACTGGAAATTCAGGACGTAGTCAGCGTCAGCACGATTACCCGTGAGGACAACGTGGCTGTCTCGCTGCTGAATCTCCTTGGTGCAGTACGTGCCTTGCTCTCTGGTGTGCCAGTTGTCCGGGAAGTCCCAGTCTTCGGAATGAGTTTTGGTGGCGACATTTTTGTTAATGGCATTATCGACGAGATCCGGTGCGACGCTGAGACGCTGCAGATTGACGTAGTTGAGTTAAAGACGCGAGCGAGTGCTAGGCCGCCTAGCAAATGCGTAAGGGAGACTCATCATCTGCAAGTGATGGTGTACGGTCACCTGCTCAGGAACTTGATCCAGGGTAAGGTGAAAATGACCGACCTTGAAAAGGGCTTCAGGGTAAACCGGGATGTCAAGTTCAGCAGCGGCGTTCTCGAATACATGTCCCCGAGTGAAAGAAGCTTGGACGACTTGCGACTCCTTGTACCCGTTGTACTGGAGACCATTCAAGCACTGCCACTGCCAGCGAACCTCATTGTGGAGTATTACAGTCAAGAGAAAAACTGCTCTCTTAGTTATGAGGGTGTTAATTATGATGAGGGCTGGTTAATTGACAGGTTTGAGAAGCTCCTGCCTTTTTGGAAGGGTGAACGACCCGCTGAAGGCGTCCAAGATATCGAAGAAGTGTGGAAATGCAGAATGTGCGAGTTTCAGAATTTCTGTGAATGGCGCCTTAAAAAGGAGTGTCAGTGTGTTGAACAAAATTCTCAATGGTTTCGGGGAGTTATTCAGCCTCCATAGGTTAGCCACACTGATAACATATTTGTAAATAAAATGTTAATAATGCAAGCCTTGTATTTGATATGAGTTTGAACAAAAAAGTATTATGAATATGTCTGAGGCTAATTTTAAACTGAACGGACCCCCTCTGGTGAAGCATAACTTTTTTGGGGCTACCTAAAAATCGGGGGAAACTCCTTATAATCTAGGGATGTTGAGCTTTTTTATTGAAGTATTGTGGGTCTTTTTTTCTTGCGCCAAACAAACCCTTGTTCAAAATAAACACTTTCAGGAAACATCCTTCCAATGTGCATTAGACTGTTTAATTTGTATGGTGTCGGGCATGCAGACAGCAACACAACATTTTTGCGAGAATAAGAACACCAGAGGAAGGATGAATGCAACGACTCATGATTGGTTGAATCGACAGCAGTTTGAACCTGAATAATAATACCTATGTTTATTTTCAGTTTCTTATTCTATTCTGCCTCACGGAAGAACATTTGTACTTGTAACTGCAAGTAAAATACACCAAACAGACCTACTACTGCAGGTCGGGCATTAAGATTGCTTCGTAATTTTTCGAAATTTGTGATTGTTTGTATTCCCGGTTGCTTGATTGTTGTCTCTCTGATTGCTTGTTTTCTGTTTTTACTGTTTGTTTCCTGGGGGGTCGGCCAGCAGACGCTCTCGCGTACGGGCTTTCGCCTGTCTGCTTCGCCTCGCACGCCCCCCAGGACACAGTTCGCTCTTTGTGCTAATAAAGATTATTACACACCAACACCGGCTCTGACGTCACGGCGCTGCTATGGCGCTGCTGTCGGCACGGCGCAGACGCTTGCGCACGGTGCGGTGCCCACACCTGGTGTAGGGTGGCTGGAAGGAGAAGTGTGCCGGGCGCCGTATGCGCGCAAAGGAGGGGCGCGATACGCGATGAAGACGTTGAGAGAGCCTAGATTGTAGAGAGGGTCCATCTCGAACCATGGGGAGCGTTTGCAATTTAATGGCGGACGCTACCGGCGAAGATGGGCCGCAAGTGCGCATGCGTTGCGTTTTCGCGTGGCGAGGAGGAGAGGCTGAGACTTTGCTGAGACGTTCGTCACCTTCTCGCCGCTCGCATTGCAAACGCGGCCTATAAACCACGTGACCTTTATGGCACAAAACCTATGTGCAACTGTTGGTAAAGGGTACTCTGATGCACATAGGTCTGTAAGCATTTATTGCACAAAAACCTATATGCAGCTATTGGGAAGGGGTACTCTGATGCACATATGGTCCGTTGCAACTTAAGGAGGTAGGGCGAGGGAAAGAAAGGCCGGGGAGGAGGTAGCAGACGGTACGCTGGAGAAGAGAAGGGGAAACCTCCTCTCTTTAGCGTTCCGTCTGCTTCCTCCTCCCCGGCCTTCCTTTCCCTCGCCCTACCTCCTTAAGTTGCAACGGACTATAGGTCTGTACGCATTTATGGCACAAAATGTGCTGCTAATATTGTATAACAATGAATCAATTTACTGTACTAATAATCACTGATTTTTTTTTACCTATACTAAATACCATTGTACCCACCCCCTCTATTCCCTTTGGCCCTGAGGGTATATGAAATAAATAAATAAATAAATAAATAAATAAATAGAGACCTATGTGCAGCTATTGGTAGGGGGTACTCTGATGCACATAGGTCTGTATGCATTTATGACACAAAACCTTTGTGCACCTATTGGCAACTGGCACCGTAATGCACTTATAATTATAATGCAATTAAATGCAGAGGGGCAAGCGAGCTGGACAAGAATGACGAAAATAATCCCTGGAGAAGGGGAACAAGAGGGACGAAGGACAAACACAAATCTCCAAACACAGCTAAATGACTGGTGAGCGACCAGTCGCAGTCGCTCACCAGTCATTTAGCTGTGTTTGGAGATTTGTGTTTGTCCTTCGTCCCTCTTGTTCCCCTTCTCCAGGGATTATTTTCGTCATTCTTGTCCAGCTCGCTTGCCCCTCTGCATTTAATTGCATTATAACATTAAATTGCAAGCTTTACCCTTGTTGGTGTTAGACTGGTGGCAGCTGATAAAACCCGTTTGCTCTACTGACGTCTAACCCCTGGTTAGCTCAGTTGGTAGAGCGCTCCACTTGTAATGGAGAGGTCCTGGGTTCGATACCCGGACCAGGCGGATTTTTTCGGTCGCTCACCAGTCATTTAGCTGTGTTTGGAGATTTGTGTTTGTCCTTCGTCCCTCTTGTTCCCCTTCTCCAGGGATTATTTTCGTAATGCACTTAGCATTATATGCATTTATGGCACAAAATCTGTTTGCATCCATTGATAATTGGTTCTATAATGCACCTAGCGGGCTAGAGGTATATGCATTTGAGCCAAAACCTGTGTCACTGTCGGTTCTCACTGACGTTAATGTGCTCCCAAAGGGAATATCGACAAAAAAAGCCCGGAGCGCAGATGTTCAAAGAAAATTCATGTTTGCGTGTAAAATGAAAAAAAAAAAGGGTAATCTGATATACCGGTAGTATTCACGATGGTCCAATGGGCGTGAAATGCAAAATGCAACCTGCACCAAAGAAAACTTATGTTTTTTAATTTGGGCACGTACACTGCGCTACACTGTTAGCACGAACACGGCATTGTTGCTCCTTTGCATCCTTTTTCAAGAGTTTTCAAAGGCATCAAACCTTATGGCTTTGGTTAAAACCCCAGCAGAGCCCTTGACACCCCATTGACACCACACCAGTGGCTTTAAAGGGGTACTCCGGCGTTTTCTTCATAGTTCCTCATTTGCCTGAAAATTTGCTAAACGCAGAGCTGCCCCCCCCCCCCCCCCCCCCCCTTCCCCCGGAGGGGGGGACGGATTTGGCCGGGGCGCTGGAGTTTGTTGGAGTTGATAATGGAAGAATGGATGATAAGTGCATTTTAGTAACAAAGGAGATTGGAAGACTGGTGGAAATTATCTAGGGAGAATTGAATGACGTACAACTAGGCTAGGTGGCGCGAGCTGCCGCTAGATATAAAGGGTACAGCCGTTAGCATCCATCCACCACTTAAGCCATAGCGTTATCGGGTCCCGTTCGCGAAGACTTCTCATATACAGTAAACGGGGGCTCATTGCCAAGTCGTGTAAGCGTGTGTGCGTGGTCTAGTCGGTAGCGTCACGTGTCACATGACGTCACACGTGGCTGTGACGTCATTACCCTATCGACCCGCCAAATTTGCCACTCAACTTGGCGGGAAAAGTTCAGCTAAAGTTGGCGGGAAAATTTTCCCGCTAGATTAAGCGGAAAATCCCGTAATGCAACGCGCACAGCCACGTGTCACAAACCTGGCTGCGCGCGTTGCATTATGGGATTTTTTGGTCTCACCGACGCCGGATTTTTTGCGACACGAGCTCCTAAACGCTATCGCGTTAACAGTGACGTCAGGGGAAGGCAGGTGCTAGCCTGACTTCACACTGCCCAGATATCTTGCACATATGGACCTTTTATGTGGCCTTAACGCTAAGACAGCAGGTCGCCTTTCTTCACAGTTGAATGACCTTTGGTACTTATTCACTACTTTTCCGCAATTCAACACAAAATTACATTATATATGGTTTTTGCTAGTGTATTGCAATGTAGCTGGGAAACTGAACCCACATACTACCCAAGAAAGGTCTGGCCATTTTGTCCACGTATTTTAAGTACTGCAAAGACAGGCTGATGATCTGGTGGATTGGCAGTTTGTGATAACGGCCAAGAGGTTTTACAGCAGCCGTGCCGTGTGATTAAATTAAAGCGAGGTCTTTGGCGACGAAAAAATAAACTATGCATCGCAGAAAGCTGGAACTCCGCCAAAATGTGAAGCCGGCAGTGGTAACAAAATGAGAAAGTTCGAGAACATAAACTTACCCACAGATTTTCCCGCTCATTTTAAACCAAACGACGATCAATTTAATCCGAGTGCCATCCAATTTAATTTTAGTGCCATCCAATTTAATTCTAGTGCTGCCCAAATTAGTCCCGGCGTCAGTCAATTTAATCCACAATATAGGAAGCGTGCGGCACCTAGAGGGGGCGTGCCACTCCGCCACGGAAGCGCCGCCAACGGCCATATAGTCGGGTCAGTCAGTGGGAGCCGCCAGCTACACTGGCTACACACTGAGTACTTTGTGTATCTGCGATATGGCAACCGGCGGGACTATTAAACGGGCCGGTTGAGGCGTGTGATCATCGAGGGATTTTTCAGAGGAGGAAACGAAGAAAAGTGGGAGAAACTGTGCAGAAGTCAGCACGTTTTCGATGTCTGGGAGGAGAGCGTGGGCGCTCAGTCCACCGTCTCGAATGGACGGTGCCTGCGGCAGGCAAACGTGAATTCGGAGGCGTACGCCGTTACAGTTAAGGTTTGTAAATTGTCGACCCTAATGCGACACTACCTTGTAAACGAGGCAACGTTATCTTTGTCTATCTGAAAGTTGAGCAAAGACTATAAGCAAATTAACGCTTCAACAACACAAGCTTGTCCTTGCACTGAACTGGGCTTTTTCAATGTGAACGCTAGTTGTTCGAAAACGGGTCTCAAAATTGCGACATTGTGCGTGCAGTCTTCGCTACACCGTACTGAAAATGGCGGAAGTACGCGAGCTCCTTGTGTTTGATCCCGGGTGTTTGATCCCGGGTGTTTGATCCCGGCTTGGCTGCACGAAAGCTCGCGCATAGTGACCGCGATCAACGGAAACTGTTCATTAAGGTGGGATCTGACTTGCGTACAATCAATGGAAGGTCCTAAATAAGCTTAGCGAATTCAATGTCAGGCTAAATGAGATGCTAGTGTTTGCGCGTGCATACTTTACTGCTACGCAGATAAACTTAAATAATGGCATGCTTAACTGTACGAAGTATGTCCCAAGAGTAATGAGAACACACTTATTTGGGCCCATGTAGAAATTGCCTGAGCAGTTCTTTTGAATCTCCATAAACCTTCTTGAAAGAGCACATATTAGCGGTTTTGTCACTCTTGTGAGCATCACTGAATCTCCACGTATGTGACTGTGTTGAGCGTGTGTTGCTACCTTTGGGATCTGGTCAAGAGCTTTGTGAATAACAGAGATCACATGTAGCGAAGTCAGAGCAGTACGGTGGAAAATGGGTGTTTTTCTCTGCTATTGTTGTAGCAAGGTGCATTATTATGCTGCAGTGTTCAAAGCAGCAATGTTCAGTTGGACACGCACAACCCACTTCGTTGAGTATAGTTTTATGAAGATGTTTATTAACTGTTTGTCTAGCATGATAGAGAAACCCCCTGTGAATCTATCTGCAAC